TATTTAGGAATTTCTAAATCTTAGGAAAAGTTCTTAGCTTTCCCAGGCAGAAAGTTCCAACGGGTGGTCTTCGGGATATTTTTTGGTTGTATTTATGTATAGAAAACAGATAGAGTAGATTTTATCCATTTATCCGAGGGGCAAAAAATCGGCTTTTTTAAAACATTGTTCTTTAAATTTCTCTACTATCAAAAATATATAAAACAATAATAATCAAAAAGTTTGAATATCATTATGCTAACATTCCCAAAGTTATAATCGTATCTCTAATACATAATTGAAAAATAAGCGAGATAATAAAAATTTGCGTTAATTAATCTGCGTTAGGTGCTTTTATTTCAACGAGTCTACAGATAATTAAGAAATGTCACAGAAGGAAAGCATTTCAAAAATGCCGCGAGTATTTAAACATTCTCGGCATTCATGGCACGCGTTACAAATGTTAACGTGACATTAGGTGCCGTGTCTCTATTTTTTTACACTTTTCCACGCGCGCATAAACACGAAATCGGTTAATCCAAACCCATTGGAATCGTCGGGAAGAGAGAAGGCGCGAGAAGGATGCGGACGCGAAATGGCAAACGTTCCGGTTTGTCAGCACGCGCGTACGGCATACCGCGGCTTGTTTCCATTAATTCGCGTTGCAAGGCGAACTCGTGCCATCGGAATGTCCCAGAGTCGTCGGGATTATAAAAGGCGAGACGTAGCAACCTAATTTGCTATATTGTCGCGAGCCGACCCACACGCGAAATATAGGCTGTAACTAAAAGTCCCCGGTTTAGATCTGATAAACTAAATCCAATTAACCCTCATCACTTTTAGGATGGCAAAGCTTAATTTTTATCCGAAATTGCGAGAAAATCCTTAAAACCGCAATTGAGCAAGCGAAATGGTCTTTAGAGTAAATATATTCATTCGTGTAAATTTGCAATTTATGATTATTTGCATAAAATTTTTCCCTACACATCTTGCATATACTTACAACCTATTTCTAGTTTCTCGATAATTTATATATATTTCATTCTCCATTAATCTCTTGGCATAAAATAAAATTTTACTTAATTGCCGCAACTTTTACAAATGTCTTAGCTCTAAATAAATAAATATATACATTTATAATTTATTTCCTAAAATTGTTTATCGATTAGAGAATTAGTCATTTTAAGTTATTGATATAACGGGCCAATGTATTACACGGAAAGGCACCAGTTATTTCATTAATGAGCGAACGAAGATCTCGCGACGAGTACTTATGATTGCTGAAAGATTATTTGCTGCAGAAAGGAATATTCAACGGCAAAAAGACAGTTATGATCGATTATATGCGTTCCTTCACGTTTCGTCTTATTCCATGTAATTTGCAACCGATAATTCGGTGTACGGTGATCGCACTCAAGCGTGAATGCGGAATCGCTTAATTTCACATACAGTGAAATATATCAAGAAAGAACAGACAGAAGTAGTAGAAATAGTTCACCCATTGCATCAGCGCGCGATAGTTTAGACGAAGTTTCTATTAATTCGTTTCAACATTTTGTACCATCGAAATTAATCGATTTTCAAATACCATTTCAGAATTTTTCGAAAATTTTTTATAAATTCGGATTATGTACATACGTCTACCTATGCGATGCATAAATAATACATAGGAAAACATGTGTTTTCTTTCAATATATAGTTACAAGGATTAAGTCAACCAGAAACTTTTCGTCAATGAAATACAAATTAGCGTAATTGGTATACGCTATGCCATTACATTAATTAAATAAAATTTCTATGGATTTCTAAAGCCAGAATATTCATGTATCCTGACAGAATTTCAATATTAATAAAAATGTAACGTTTATAATTTTATTTACTTGATTCTTTAATTGCGTCCTGCGAATAATTAATAACCTAGTATTTTATTAATAGTAGATATCTTGTATCGCCAGTGATGAATAAAATTAAAAATAAATGTGAGACGACCCAACTGGCTTAAATTAATTCTTATTATTAGTTTGATGCCATGTACAAGAAAAGACAACGTTTCGACCTTAGGTTTAGGTCCTTATCAAGTCTAAAATTAACATTAAAAAATACAATAGATGTACATACAAGAATTTTGATTTTTAAGAAAGTAAAGCGCAAACCAAGATTATAATAACAATTTAAACGTACCTTACAAATTCTTAAGTGCAATATATAATTAATTTTGTTCCATTTTACATATTTCAATATAAATATTGTGTCACGTAAACGTTCGGTATGGATGGTAAAGACGAACTAAGTTAAACAGCTTTGATTATTCTATCATAGATCGGATTCAAATTCTCTGTGTCTTTCTGTAGGTTGATCGTGTTATTAAATTTTTTTATAAAAAACATTTCAGCAATCTCTCTTTTCCTAGTGTTTGTTTCTCGATGTAAAATATTTAAGTTTGTCCATTTAAAGTCATGCGAAAAATCATTTCTATGTTTGCTTATAACATTTTGATTGCTGACATGCATTTTTATATTATTCATATGTTCTTTAATCCGAGTATTAAGGTGTCTTTTAGTTTGTCCGATGTATGTGGCGTCACAGTCATTGCAGTCAACTTTATAAACTATCTCGGTCATATCGGCTTTAGGTAATTTGTCTTTTCGGGGTTTAATAAACGTATCAAGTTTTTTTGGAATCGTATAAATAACACTTAAACCTGTTTTCTTAATAGATCTCTCAATAGTCTCACTTAGGTTCTTAACATACGGCATTAAAATACAAGAAGAAATATCAAATACATTATTTTTGTCAACTACGTTATGAGAATTTTCTAAAAAACATGTTCTTTTATACATATATCGCTCGATGACCGTCCTAGGGAAACAATTATTCAACAAGATTTTTTTAACCATCTGTAAGTTCTCATTATGAAATCGTTTATCCGATAACAAAATAGCGTGGTCGACTAAGTTATTAATCGTGTTAACTTTGTATTTGAACGGATGGTTAGAATGGTAGTTTAAATATCTACCAGAGAAGGTGGGTTTCTGGTACCAACTAGTCAATAGTTTACCATTGTTTCTAAAAACCAATGTATCCAGAAAGTTAATCTTGTTATTTATCTCTGTTTCATGTGTAAATTGCAAACGGTGATGGTATTTATTAAACGTAGTCAAAATGTTATCCATTTTATTGCGTGGTACTATTGCAAAAATATCATCAACGTACCTATAATAAACTGAAATGTCAAATTGTAAAGAGCTTAAACATTCTGTCTCAAGATCAGCCATAACTAAGTCTGCTAAAATAGGTGAAAGGGGGGAACCCATTGGCGTACCATGTATCTGTTCATAAAATTGATCGTTGAAACGAAAACTAGTAGATTCTAATACAGCGTCGATTCCATATAAAAATTGTGTCAAACTAAAATTTGTGTTACATGAAATATCCTTCCAACGTTTTTCAATAGCTTTTAAAACTAATTCCTTAGGAATGTTTGTGAATAAAGAAGTGACGTCAAGAGAAATTAACATTTCATTATCTTCAATACTCAAATTCTTGATTTTATTCGCGAACGTCCAACCGTCTTTAATATGTGAGATAGGTTTCGTAATTGATCGTTCCAATATATCATGTAAAAAACGTGCTATACTGTACACCGGGCTCCCAAGTGACGAAACAATTATACGTAAAGGCGCGTTAACTTTGTGAATTTTCGGTAGACCGTAACATCGAGGAAGGTTCCCATTTGTGGTATTAAGTCGTTTATATGTCATTTCATCAATCAATTTATTATCTCGCCATGATTTGATTAAAGAATTGATTCTACCCGAAACTTTCTTGAGCGGTATTTTATATATTTTCAATTTATCGATTAATATTGCAGCAAATATTATTTTAAATGCTGTACAGACAAAAGACAAACAAATAAAAATATTTTCTCTAATCCGTTAACATAATTCATGTTACTTAATTATTGAAATGAAGTAAACCGTATAAGTGTGCCAAATTCCGATTATAATAATCGCGATTAAAATATTGATTAATTCCGATTATACGTAATATAAAACTAATGAATAAATCTCTAATTTTTTCTACACGCGTTTTCTGCTCCAATATCTTTGTTTTTTTTAAAGAAAGAAAAAATATTACACTATAGTAATCGCTTAATATACCAAACGCGACAGAACATAACGATTCGCGACGGCGAGATAGAGAGGTATAGAGAGGACATACGTTCCGCTTTATCAGCGCATACGCGGCATGCCGCGGCGTGTTTCCATTAATTCGCGTCGCGGGGCGAACTCGTGCCGTTGGAATGCCCGTTGAAGCCGAGAGGAGAGAGAAGTCGTTAAGCTGCGTGCCGTTCGTTCGACCGGCAACCGGTTCTCCCATCGGTGATTCGTCGTTAATTCGCCGGCGCGGAGTAAGTAATCGCGCGCGCGTCCCAACGACCACCTCGGGTGTGTTACACGCCTGCGTTTACACCGCGTCAACCACCCTCAGCTTCCCCCCTTGTCTCACTTCTCCCCCTCGATTGCGGATAGCTCGAGTGGAAAAACGAAAACTCTGCGTAGCAAACGAGGACGACCTGTCGATAATGCGCGAGTGGCATCTCGATTTCAAAGTGACGGAAATATGTTGCAGCTTCTCGGAAAGGGTTGTAAATTATTCCCGAGCGAAACTCGTTTGCGCGTATATTAGATTGCAAATACGAAGAAATGAGAAAAATTAAAAATTAGCGGCGCTCATTATATTCAGCGGCACAACCTTGTGATATTTAATTAGCTGGCTCTGTTAGTATCGCGGGGTGAAAAATAGTATAAGGTCTTTTCCTTAAGGTTCGCGCCTGAGATAAGATTTATGCGCGAGTTATTCATATGTAAAATAATTTCGTATAACAGATTTCTGCTCATTATTTCATGTTGTATAAATATGCTTACTGGCGTCTTAGTTGTTTAAAATAAATTCTGCGGACAAGTTCTATATGAACAATGTTGCTTTATACGCAACAAGAATTAAAAACATTGACTCACCAAAGAAGTTCGCCAGCATAGAACTGGAAGCTCGTTCTGAAACAAATAAAAAAGATTTGTAAGAATAAAAATTTAATACTTTCATCAAATATATCTATATAATCATATTGCTATGTGTGAGTCATTAGTTCTTTCTTTTGTGCAAATTAAAAATCCTAAAACACGAACACACATACATATAAACGCTAGGTTCAAATTCTTTTCAGGCGATCTTAAACAAGGACGTAATAGTCGTGACAAACTCAATGTAATGTTTTACAAAATTCAGATCAAACATAAAGATAGAAAGAAATAGCACTAGGAAATGATTCAAGAAGTAAAAACAATTCAACATAACACATTTTCACGCAACGTATTCTTTGCACGCGACATGAGAGAGAGAGAGGGAGAAGGAGAGAGAGAATAGAATAAAATTTGCCTCTCTAATATAACAATTTTTTACAATATTATAGTATATCAGACAAAATAAATTGCTTTAATTTTACCCATAATTTTTACAATATTTACAATGGGACATATCATTACATTATCATTAAGTAAAAATAAGCGAAAAATTCTGTTTTGATTATACAGAGTACACCTCATCATGCGATCAACGTATCATGATGCGGCTGAATCTGATCCTTGTCGGTCAATTTCTCTGTCATTTAGACCTTGTTGGCCGAGATGCGCGTGTGAGAATGTGAATCATCTCGGATGTTTACTACTTCCCTCCTCTTCTCCTTTACGGATTTTACATCTCGAGGATCTAAATACGCACGCGTTCACACTTTTCGCGCAAGTGTCCAACTACTTAAACCTATTTATACGTGAAAGCGATCGGTTGCGCACGAACATAGGCCCCAAACGCGCGCAAGAGCAAATCGCCCAGACAAGGCGAGAAAGACACTCGTATTACGTGCACGCACGCGCGCGACGAGCCAGCCGTGTTATTATATTTTACTTTGGTCGGATGCGGAAACCCTGGGATAATTTGCGCGAACGAGCCGCAATTATTTAAGGGTGTGCATACGTAACGAGGGGGTGGCTCTTTTCTCTCTTTCTCTGGGGTCTTTCTAGGGTCTCGGCCTTTCGTTCGAACATAAAATTCCGCGTCTATTGCCGAGTGTCTATCGATTCGCATCGCGATCGCTATACACGTCGTTGTCGGCGGAGCCGCGAACTCGTAACGTTTTTCTGAGAATTGCTACCTTTAAGTAATAGATATGCAACGTCGACGCGATGCTCGCAGCTGATGCGATGTTTGCTCTTCGCCCCGAAGGAAAAGGCTCGGCCCGTTTTGTGAAGAATCGCGAGGCCAGAAATTTGAGCGCCACTCGCCGCAATGCCGCGATATAATTCTGAGGCGAGATCGAAGCGCGAGATTTGAGATCGCGTGTAAGAACACTTGTGTAAAAGTCGGTTGCCGGGGCGAGAGTGATACGTGGTCTCCTCGCCAAATAAAGATATAAGAAGGTTACAATTATTTATATAACGATTATTACGGTAACGATTATTTATATAAAAAATCGTAGAGTTTTTAACTTTGGTAAAGTCTGACTGGACGCCAGCTCTTGCCTGAAGTATATCGAACAAGCGATACTATCGAGGAAGGGGATGATAATGGTTGGGTTGATTCGAGGGGTTAATTATCCCTCATCGGTATCACTGCTATATCCCCATCATTATGAAGGGTCTGTCTTGCATTAAATTTTACTACAAAAAGAGGAAAACCTATTAGGCTATTAAGATAAAAACCGTGTTCTTCCTTACTTGGAGACTGTAATTCTTTTACTTTTTTCATTTCAGGATTTTTTTTATGAAGAATGCACGACAAATTTGCATATTTATATAGACGTTGTGTATGCTAGAAAAATAGAAGAGGATAATATTCATACATTATACAATGTTCTTCAAATTAAAATATCTCTCTGAAAATTGAAAATTATTCTATTCGCACAAAACACGACAAAAGAAATTAAAGTGTAAATATTTATTATAAGTACAAGGAAAAGTTTGAAAGGGACTATTACAATGGACTATTAAAATTTTTATCAGCAATAAAATTCTCACGATAAAATTTAATGTTTTAATTGTAACACTTGTTGATGCAGTTATTTTTTAAACAATTATCAAAGATCTATGTATGTTAAAAAAAAATATCATTATCAATATTAAACATAATGACAATAAATTAAAATTGTATCTGTAGAATTTGACGTTACATCCGACGCGGTTTATTCCAATCCTTCCCGTTCTACAGAAATACCAATTCGCCTTATTTCGGGATCGACCGGTCGCCGCCGAACGCACGTAACTATTCGAAGCTAATGCTCGCACGCGGCTCCTAATCGTCGCACGTACATTGGGGGTTGGGTGTCCGTCGTCTTCGTGTGTTTACCTCGCGTATACGTATATACACACGTATACAATTACAGACGCGCGCAGCAGACCTACATAAAGGCGAAACCCGTAACGTGTGTCGATGAGAGTGCAGCGAAGCACTAACGCCGGGGTGGTGTCGAGGGTGGTTGGAGTGGCTAGGGGGGTGATTATGAGCGAGTAAGTGCCGCCGTCCAGTTTTTATCCCCCCTTCCCTCACCTTCCCGCAACCCCAGTTGACCGTTCTACCACCATCGTGGCGGCAACCATCTCCCACCCTTCCGTCACTAACCCGCTGGCTCTAGCCGCGTTGGTTCTCTTACCACCAACTCGACTAAACCTCCAACGGATCAATACGCTAAAACATTGCCACGTCGAGACGCCGCCGTGTAAAACCCGAAAGAAATACCGTCGTGGGGGCGGTGTTTTCCCTTAGCCAGCGGCCACCGCGTCTCCTCCGTCCACGCGGCTAACGAACTTCCGGTTTTCGACCCTTTTACCGTCCTCTTTTGCTCTCTCTCTCTCTCTCTCTCTCTCTCTTTCTCTTCTCTCTTCCTTATCGCTCATTCTGCCTTCATCTTATCATGGCTTATATCTTTGTTTGGTCAGTAACCAAAATACGCAACGTGGATCTCTCATTAGAGGAGTCATTAAAGAAAATATAAGAGAATTTTGCGTGAGATTCTTATATTGTTCTTTCTTAAATTAGACCGGCAAAAGTTGATTGGTTTAAAAAATTAAACGGCTTAATAAATTTCTGGGATTTTAAATATCATCGATAGAAAAATTAAAAATTTGACTTTATATATATATATAATAAAATTTGCAATTTCTATCAATATTTCTCGTTAAAATAATATAATTGTTAATATTATTTTAATTGCATTTTGAAATTTATGCAAAACTCTAATTATAATAATAATATGTAATGATCATTGCAAACATAGAACTGAATAAATAATAAATGAAAAGTATAGTGCTGCAATAAAAATATATCTGAATATAATATCGGATAATACATTAAACATAAAATTGCATTATTACGTGTATGAAAATTATTAAAATATATTTGTATATAACCTCATCTTAATAAGATGATTATTATATTATGTAATATAAAACACATAAAACATTACGTAAACGTGTTAATATTCGCACGTATAATATAAGATTGAAAATTTAAATTTCTTAAATTATGCAAACAACTTGCAACACATTTTACGGTAATATACAATATTCTCAATTGCGTCAGATAAAATTTTCTGAAAAAGAATGTAAAAGAATAAAAATGTTTATCGAGATGCATCCTGAGATGAAGAAAAGAACGTATCAACCTTAAGAAAAATCTGCACATTCGTACGATGCGTAATACGATATTTCACGTTCGCGCAATCATAGCTCGTTTTTCAAGATAGAAAGAGCTTGCTATCGATAGCGGACCTTCAAAGGGCGCGAAAGACAGATGAACGGATGTCCGTGGCCTACCACAACCCACGTAAGGCAACGTATCCCGCTCTCGTCCTTCGGTCCCCTCACCGATGTACGTTTACACGTTAGTGTTCCTACTCTCACGTGTGCCCGACATAACGTCGGGTTTCCGTGGACGATCGATATATCGATTGTCGTCGACGAACGACGACCGGCTGGTCGACAGCCACGAAGGTGAAAGAGAAAAGAAGAGATAGATAGAGAAAGAAAGAGAGAGCAAGCGGGGGAGTAAAAGCGCTCACGGGTGTTGTTCGTGTATGTCTGCTCTGTGGTCACTTGTTGCCTGCTACCCCCGGGGGTTGGTTGGCCTTGTCCCTCTGTGTTTGGGGAACGCTTGTCGTGCGACCGCCGACAAACCGCACGGCGACCAAAGCATCGAGATCTTTCCGTTGGTGGATTAGGTCGACTACTCTTTCCCGAGATGCGAATTTCCGATCTCCCCTATTGTTTCACCATTTCTCGTTTGCGCCTTTTCGAGCTTTAGGATTGTTCGAACTCGAAATCTTTCTAAGCGAACTCGAAATCTTTCCTGCGGCTTTTGAATTACGGAGTTTTTAAATGAGTGATGGACAGCTGGGGTCTACGATTATCGTAATTATCTAGGATTATCTAGGATTATCGCGATACAAAGCTGGATTTCTTTTAATTGCTCGAATTTCAAATTTTAATCGTAACCTTTTCTTCAAGGTAATTGAATATTCATATTTTTTTAGTTCAGCCTCTCTATCTTTTCAATTTTTAAGATAACTCTAAATAAATTTGAATTTTAAGAATTGTAAGAACATGGCAGTTTTAATTAGATGAAAAAAGACATTCGTCCTCTATCATCTGGAGTTTTGTGTTCAATGATTACTTTGGAGAAATCAATGAAAAATTGATCCTAATAATAAGCACAATATAAAGTTTACTTTTAAAGTAAAACACGCGCGAAAACTTGTCCAATTAAAGGAAAAATCTAACGTCTTTAAAATACAGTAATATTTTATGATAATTTTTCAAAGTCAAAATTATTTGTCAAGATTAAATGTTTCACATATCCTACTTTATTTAATTGCAATTGAAAAATTCGCTAGCAAATCTAATTCATGCGCTATACCCCATGTTGATAATTGAAGTTTTTAATTACTTCCTCTAAATTTTTTCCAGAATATAGAAAGAACAAGTTTCACGTACAAACATGCGAAGCT